GTAGGCCTCAAAAATAATCTTTAAAAAATCCACGCCTAATGGTAGGCCTCAAAAATAATCTTTAAAAAATCCACGCCTAATGGTAGGCCTCAAAAATAATCTTTAAAAAATCCACGCCTAATGGTAGACCTCAAAAATAATCTTTAAAAAATCCACGCCTAATGGTAGGCCTCAAAAATAATCTTTAAAAAATCCACGCCTAATGGTAGGCCTCAAAAATAATCTTTAAAAAATCCACGCCTAATGGTAGGCCTCAAAAATAATCTTTAAAAAATCCACGCCTAATGGTAGGCCTCAAAAATAATCTTTAAAAAATCCACGCCTAATGGTAGGCCTCAAAAATAATCTTTAAAAAATCCACGCCTAATGGTAGGCCTCAAAAATAATCTTTAAAAAATCCACGCCTAATGGTAGGCCTCAAAAATAATCTTTAAAAAATCCACGCCTAATGGTAGGCCTCAAAAATAATCTTTAAAAAATCCACGCCTAATGGTAGGCCTCAAAAATAATCTTTAAAAAATCCACGCCTAATGGTAGGCCTCAAAAATAATCTTTAAAAAATCCACGCCTAATGGTAGGCCTCAAAAATAATCTTTAAAAAATCCACGCCTAATGGTAGGCCTTGGAAAATATGACTCAAAAATAATCTTCAAAAAATCCACGCCTAATGGTAGGCCTTAGAAAATATGCCTCAAAAATAATCTTCAAAAAATCCACGCCTAATGGTAGGCCTTAGAAAATATGCCTCAAAAATAATCTTCAAAAAATCCACGCCTAATGGTAGGCCTTAGAAAATATGCCTCAAAAATAATCTTTAAAAAATCCACGCCTATAACTAGGCCTCAAAAATAATCTTTAAAAAATCCACGCCTATAACTAGGCCTCAAAAATAATCTTTAAAAAATCCACGCCTATAACTAGGCCTCAAAAATAATCTTTAAAAAATCCACGCCTAATGGTAGGCCTCAAAAATAATCTTTAAAAAATTCACGCCTAATGGTAGGCCTCAAAAATAATCTTTAAAAAATCCACGCCTAATGGTAGGCCTCAAAAATAATCTTTAAAAAATCCACGCCTAATGGTAGGCCTCAAAAATAATCTAATGTTAAAAAAATCCAAAAATCCACGCCTAATGGTAGGCCTCAAAAATAATCTTTAAAAAATCCACGCCTAATGGTAGGCCTCAAAAATAATCTTTAAAAAATCCACGCCTAATGGTAGGCCTCAAAAATAATCTTTAAAAAATCCACGCCTTAATGTATACCTCAAAAATAATCTTTAAAAAATCCACGCCTAATGGTAGGCCTCAAAAATAATCTTTAAAAAATCCACGCCTAATGGTAGGCCTCAAAAATAATCTTTAAAAAATCCACGCCTAATGGTAGGCCTCATTCTTTTATTTTTTATTATATTTATAGTCATATTGCATTAACACAATCGCATTAGACAGGGTGGATGCGATGGAGGCAAACACCATGGGCCTGGTAACATCGAACAGATGAATTAAGTCCCGACTAACTGGAAATGCTGCCATTTTTAGGGAGAACATCAAAACCTTAAGGAGGAAAATATTAGGTATTAAAAAAGAAAACCCCTAAAAGTATGCACCACATTACACTTACACTCTCTTCCAACCGCTTATCCAATATGGGTAACCATGCCTTGGACTCCCTTATCATTTGACCCGGCATATCGACGAGAGCGATATATCTTAGAATGTGATGTATCAGTATGGCACCATCGGCATAGTACAGCAGCGAAGCTATTGGCAGAAAAATTAAAATCGACTGACTAAATTCAGGGCCCAAATCCACCTGCTGAATCCACATATAGACGATGTAGAAAACACAAATATTGTTCAGATAGAGAATCAAGAAGACACACGAACCCTGGAGATAGAACATGCGATTGATGCGCTCACACAGCAGTTGCAGTTCCATGTGGTTGCGGCGCAATTCATCAATTTGATCGGATAGTTGGCAACAGCGTATACTCAACAGTCCCTGACCTATGCGCGAGGTATTGTGCAGGTGAAATAGTGCCTCCATGGTACCCAGATGATCGGCTAATTCATCGTTCATAATTCGAAATAAAAATTGAATATTCATGGCAATGAAAAAATAATGACCAGCCATTAAATTCAATACGGTGGACATTAGACCCAGTACCGTGAGAACGACGGGATTGTGAATTTCAAAACGTTGACGCATTATCTGAACCGTTCCATAGAACATGATGACCTCACACAGACCGCCAATGCAAAATTTCATACAAACTTGTCGATTAACATATTCCGAATGCTTCGGAGGGATGCGATGCGTTCGCAGGTAACGTTCACGAAAATCTCTAAATGCATTGAGGTTATATATGAAATCACGACGGCGCATCCAATTACTTGCCAAGGTCAACAGGACGCCAATAATTCGTATTATCGTCAGGACAACCAATATTTTGTGATGTAGAACTGGTTGGCCGGAAGAATCCAAGTTTATTTCCAAATTTTGAGCAAAATGTACGACACATGAGAGGGTTAGGATATTCATCAGACAACAGTAGATGGTTAGGACTGTACGCTTTTCTACTTGACCCGTATCGATGTCATAGGTAAAGGCTATGACACCCAATAGCAGGGAATACGAATAAACCATGGCGGTTAGGCAACGAGCCAGACGACGCATTCCGTGTAACTGATTCTGACAGCAGCAGGCAGGAAATTAGGGCAAGCAATGCTATCATATCATGGCTGGGAAATCACAACAAACATGAAAGTAATTAGAACATTAGGTCATTAGGAAGAAGAAGAGGTCAGGATATTTTTTTTAAAGACAATTAATTTTCCATAGAACCAAATTTTTTAAGGCCTACCAATAGACGTGGATTTTTAAAAATAAAAAAAATTAATTTTTAAAAAATCCACGCCTTGAGGTAGGCCTTAAAATATAATGTTTAAAAAATCCACGCCTTAAGGTAGGCCTTAAATATAATGTTTAAAAAATCCACGCCTTAAGGTAGGCCTTAAATATAATGTTTAAAAAATCCACGCCTTAAGGTAGGCCTTAAAATATAATGTTTAAAAAATCCACGCCTTAAGGTAGGCCTTAAAATATAATGTTTAAAAAATCCACGCCTTAAGGTAGGCCTTAAAATATAATGTTTAAAAAATCCACGCCTTAAGGTAGGCTATGAATACGAATAAACCTTAAAATATAATGTTTAAAAAATCCACGCCTTAAGGTAGGCCTTAAAATATAATGTTTAAAAAATCCACGCCTTAAGGTAGGCCTTAAAATATAATGTTTAAAAAATCCACGCCTTAAGGTAGGCCTTAAAATATAATGTTTAAAAAATCCACGCCTTAAGGTAGGCCTTAAAATATAATGTTTAAAAAATCCACGCCTAATGGTAGGCCTTAAAATATAATGTTTAAAAAATCCACGCCTAATGGTAGGCTTCAAAAATATTTGTTAAAAAATCCACGCCTAATGATAGGCTTCAAAAATATTTTTTAAAAAATCCACGCCTAATGATAGGCTTCAAAAATATTTTTTAAAAAATCCACGCCTAATGATAGGCTTCAAAAATATTTTTTTAAAAAATCCACGCCTAATGATAGGCTTCAAAAAATAATGTTTAAAAAATCCACGCCTAAAGGTAGACCTCAAAAAATACGTTTAAAAAAATCCACACCTAATGGTATACCTCAAAAAATAAGTTTAAAAAATCCACGTCTTAAGGTAGGCCTTAAATATAATGTTTAAAAAATCCACGCCTAATGATAGGCTTCAAAAATATTTTTTAAAAAATCCACGCCTAATGGTAGACCTCAAAAAATAAGTTTAAAAAATCCACGTCTTAAGGTAGGCCTTAAATATAATGTTTAAAAAATCCACGCCTAATGATAGGCTTCAAAAATATTTTTTAAAAAATCCACGCCTAATGATAGGCTTCAAAAAATATTTAAAAAATCCACGTCTTAAGGTAGGCCTTAAATATAATGTTTAAAAAATCCACGCCTAATGATAGGCTTCAAAAATATTATTTTTAAAAAATCCACGCCTGATGTTAGGCTACTAAAATGTGGAATGTCTCATATTAATGGATTTAATTAATTAAATCCTTCATTCGGTCTGCCTGCCTTGCTGATGACCTAAATCTGGGCAATACAAATCAGTTCGGCACAAATAATGAAACGTTCAACCCGTTGGATGTTAAAATTTTTCTATTACACTTCGCAAATATTTTCGATTTTAACATTCGAATATGATGCGGAAAATCGGTGTATATATACCTCTCATTCGCTCACCATTTATTGTGTACTTGTTAATATTGCTATGATCGGAATAATTCCCTTGCTATGGAGCGTTGAGATAAATCCTCGGAATATGTACGACAAGGATCTGCATGTCATAATCACAGCCATTTCATCCTTGGTGGAAATTGTGGCGGTCTTCATTAACGCCATCCTAGTTTGGTTACAACGCCGGGAGTTTATGGAGCTTTTGGGGGGATTTATGGAGCTTCGGCGTTGGATTTTGGAGCGGTGGCCAATGCCACAACAATTGGAGAGGAAATACGAATCAGCCATACGAACGAAATTCTATTGGACTTGTTTGGTATATTTTTGTGTCGTCTTTGGCTATATCGATTTCTATCGCCAGCAGTTTCAAATCGATGGAGTTCTGCTGTGTGTGGTCATAATGTTCTTTAACATTTACATGGAAATTCTGGTCACGAATGGTTATGTTTTCCTCACCAATGTCAATATTTTGCTGGAACTTCTTAATGTGGAACTGAAAAAGATTTTGGAATGTTCGGCGTTACTATCAGAATTCCGATACTTGAAGGAGCATCATGCTGCGGATTTTCAATATCAGTGTAAAATGATGGCTAAGGACTTGGATGAGCTGGCCAAAATCCACTACCAATTGCTGCAGTTGGTAAATCGCATAATTAAAATTTGTGGTGTGCAAATGGTTGCCGATATGCTAATGGTCTTCTTGGGGAATATTGGATTCCTTTATATGGGTTATATGGTTCTGCAACATTCGTATATGCGAGAACTGTATGGAGACTCTTTGCCCATCACATTGATATCGCTTTTTGTCTACTATATGGATCTGAGGAAACTTGTGTTCACGATATTCGAAGTGGAGGAATTGTTTGAGGACACGGTCAGAATTTTGAGATGTCAGGAAATAATGGAGGAAGTGCTGGATGAAGAGCTGGAGCAGAGTGTGAGTATGGATTCAAAATATAAATAGGGACTTTGGTGCACCATTTACCTTAAATCGGTCGAAAATATATATGGGAACTATATCTAAATCTGAACCGATTTTCATGAAATTTAGCACACATCGATCTGGAACTAATTCAGTACTCTGTGCCAAATTTCGTGCAAATCGAAAGATATTTAGGGACTTTGGTGCGCCATTTACCTTAAATCGGACGAAAATATATATGGGACCTATATCTAAATCTGAACCGATTTTCACGAAATTTAGCACACATCATTCTAGGCCTAATTCAGTACGCTGTGCCAAATTTCGTGCAAATCGAAAGATAAATAGGGACTTTGGTGCACCATTTTCAAAAAATCGGACGAAAGTATATATGGGAGCTATATCTAAATCTGAACCGATTTTCACGAAACTTAGCACACATCATTCTAGGCCTAATTCAGTACGCTGTGCCAAATTTCGTGCAAATCGAAAGATCAATATGGACTTTGGTGCACCATTTACATAAAATCGGACGAAAATATATATGGGAGCTATATCTAAATCTGAACCGATTTTCACGAAACTTAGCACACACCATTCTAGGCTTAATACAGTACGCTGTGCCAAATTTCGTGCAAATCGAAAGGTATTTAGGGACTTTGGTGCACCATTTACCTTAAATCGGACGAAACTATATGGGAGCTATATCTAAATCTGAACCGATTTTCACGAAACTTAGCACGCATCATTCTAGATTCAATTCAGTACGCTGTTCCAAATTTCGTGCAAATCGAAAGATATGCAGGGACTTTGGTGCACCATTTACCTTAAATCGGGGGAAAATATATATGGGGGCTATATCTAAAACTGAGCCCATTTTCTCGAAACTTGGCACACATCATTCTGGTACTAATTCAGTACTCAAAAAATAAGTTTAAAAAAATCCACGCCTAATGGTAGACCTCAAAAAATAAGTTTAAAAAATCCACGCCTAATGGTAGACCTCAAAAAATAAGTTTAAAAAATCCACGCCTAATGGTAGACCTCAAAAAATAAGTTTAAAAAATCCACGCCTAATGGTAGACCTCAAAAAATAAGTTTAAAAAAATCCACGCCTAATGGTAGACCTCAAAAAATAAGTTTAAAAAATCCACGCCTAATGGTAGACCTCAAAAAATAAGTTTAAAAAATCCACGCCTAATGGTAGACCTCAAAAAATAAGTTTAAAAAATCCACGCCTAATGGTAGACCTCAAAAAATAAGTTTAAAAAATCCACGCCTAATGGTAGACCTCAAAAAAATAAGTTTAAAAAATCCTCGCCTAATGGTAGACCTCAAAAAATATGTTTAAAAAATCCACGCCTAATGGTAGGCCCTAAAAAAATACAAAAATCGCCGCCTAATGATGGGCAACAGAAAATAATTTTGTTTTGGTTTTGGTAATTAATATCTGACCATGTCTGTTTTTCTGCGGAATGAGGGTAGGGGTTGTGATGGTTGATAAAAACCATCCTGCCTTTGAGCAAACAACCCTTTTTTCCATTTCATTTGCTTGGTGTTGAATTAGTTCCCATTCGGTCCTTGAAATCGTCATGCGTCGCTCAACGAATTTTATGATTCTCATATTTCTGGTTGCCGCCCAGCTGGTGGGCACCCTTTCCTTCTGCTACAATCATCGAACGGGTGAAATTTACTCCGCCACCTGGTTAACCATCTACAGTGCCATCATCAGTTTGGTCATGCTGGGAGCTCTGCCCATGCTGCGACACATTACCATCAATGCGACATATTTCCATGCCAAAATTAATTATCTGATATTTCTGATCCGGATAGCGGCGGTGGTGGTCACGGTCATTTTCAATTGGACCAAACGCCAGGATTATATGAAATCCTTAGAGGTGTTAATTCGCATCAAAAAGGACTTCCTCAGAAAATGGCCTCTCAGTAGGAAGCTGGAACGGCGATTTGAGCAGGCGGTGCGTTCGAAATTCTGTTGGGGTTGTGCCTCTAGCCTGGGCATAATGGTTGGGTCCTTTGAATTCTTCAAACATCAATTTAATTTGGAGAATGTCTGGGCGATTTTGGCCCTGGGCGTGGGCTCCAATATCATCAACCTGGTCATAACCAGTTATTTCTTTTGTATTCTCCACATCAATATTCTGCTAGCCGCCATTAATGAGGAGTTGCTGAAAATCCTTCAGAAATCGGGACATTTGGCAGAATCCCGACGAATGGGGCGAACTCATGCCGGGTTCTTTATCAACCAGTGCTGTCAATTTTCCGATGATGTGGATGAATTGGCCAGATATCAAATATGCCTGCGGAACATGACCAAGCGTGTGAACAGCATGTTCGAAGTTCAGGGTGGTTGTGTCCTTCTGACCATCTATTTAAATAGTGTATCGGTGATATATTCACTCTATTCGACGGCAAGTATTCCATGGGATGTCTATAGCACA